TAAGGGGGGGGGGTTGGGTCAACTTAAGTCTTAAGGGTTACTTCTCCTAGTAAGAGACAGGCACGCGGGAACCCGGCGTCTTCAACAGCAAATTAGTAGGAAAAACATTTTTGGGAAGAAAAAAAGACACGAACGTTCCATGAAGTTACAAGTAAACAACGTCTTTCAACATGGCTACAAGTTACTTCTTAAAATAATCACAAAGCTTACCTATTAAACTTTTTCTTTGATTTTCTTGATTTCTGCCCATCTTCTTTTAAACTGAATGTTGAAGGCGGTCGATGAGCGGGAAGTTCTGGAAGGATTGGACTACCTAGGAAATGAACGGTGGAACACCTATACTCATGCATTGTTGTTGGTCATGCTGACGGCGAGCAATTTTGAAGGTTAGACTTATACGTTATAATAATAGGGCAACAATTGATTTACAATCAAAAAGGTTATATTCTAGTCATTCTTTTATGTTTCTCAGTCCATTTCTCCTTTGATTTGAAATTGAATTTCTTTTATTCATTATCTATTGATGTTCATGTCGGGTCAAGGTTTCAAACATACACTCTATACAAACATTAACACACTTAGAGGATTGCACTGGTATTTCCTTTTCAAAACCTCTAGTCAGAGTTATTAAAATAACCAAATACATATTTTAACTGAGTGTAGTAAAGCTTTATATAGAAATGATTAGAAGAGTTAAGGAGTAGTTATTGCTTCATTTATCCGATGCTAAAATTGAATATTCAATAGTATTAGTTCTTGACACACAATAATTCTGTAATTAGGATGCAAAATACGTAAAATTTAAATTTAGTAAAAATTCTTATTTTTTATGAAAGCAACAGAGACGTTTGATGTTACCAGCTCATTTAAAGGAAAGGAATGATCTTTTAGAATTGACGGTTACAATTTACCACTTATTGCAAACACATCATGCATACCAAATTAACACATTCACGCTACTGAGAGATTAAGCTTGGTTTTACCGAGAAAACATGTCAAACAACAAATGTTGTGAATTTAGTGTAGGGTGCGCAGAACTCCGTAAATTTAGCTGTGACCCTGTCGAACTGATGAGTTAATCTATTCACCTATACTGTTCGCTGGATGATGTAAAATGCTAATGGAGAAGACACAAGTTCATTATTCCTGAGGGTTAAACGGTTATGATGTAATAAGGTGTAAATGATTTTTCATACAACACCAAAAATCTTTCCTAACATAGGAGTTGAAAGAAAAATCTGAAAAAAAAATTTGCGAATTCATCTGAATCAAAAAAATCGTAAATGTGAGTGCACTAACAAAAATAACTCTTCAAGTCGTGAGGGGCTTTAAATAAGCTTCAAACTCTAAACTCCACAACATGTACATAAAGTGCTTTTCGATCGAGTGTCGTATAACCCAAACCAAACCAATCACATCAGCCAACCAGAAGCAAAGAAATACCTTTATGAGTCAATGACAAATCAAAGTAGAAACAACTCAACTAAAGCGCGGCAAAACGCGGGCGACCAAATCGTGACTGGTTTAAGTTTCGCATCTGATTGGTTGAGAAAGAAGCGCGAGTTTTCTCGACCAATCACACATCGAAGTAAAGCAAACCCCAATGCAATCTTAGATTACCTTCGAAACTCAATTAAAAAAATTGTTCTATATTCATATGAAAAGTTCCCTGTGTAGAAAATTAACTGAACAGTACCTACTCAAAGCTCACTAAAATATCACATGAATGATCTCGATTGCACGTAAGAGCCAGCAACCAGCGAATTTTTCTGGTAACACTGGTAACACATAACAAAATATCCATTTGAAGTTGTTTGTAAATTTATTGTAACTGAGAATACTATTTTCTTTTATATGTAATAAGTACATAGTGCTGGAATTTTTTTTCTGGATGTCTTTCTGAAAATCAAACAAACAGCTTTAACATTGCACTTCATATTCCGATAACAGGTCTAATAAATTACTGTTCAATAAATAAAATCACATCAAATAACTGACCGGTAAGGATAACTATTTTAACGAACTAACAAATATCAACATCTTGATCACTAAATTTATATTTTGCTTATCAATCAAAACTGAACGAATCGCTTTTTTGCAGGAGCCCATTCTCCACGCACAACATTTTGAACTAAATGTGCGCATATAACTCAATCACCCTGCAACTCCTTCTACCGTTAGTTACACAAAATAACCACTGTGGTATGGTGACCTTCATCGTAAAAAATTAAACCAGCAACATAAGTGTCTAGCTATATTCAATTTGGTTTTTCAAATCCATTGCCTATCAAATACTCAAGACAAAAATTCACCGACTGAAAGAACAAAATTTCTTGTGTATCACTGTAATAGTAGTAATACAGTAATCCTCTTGTTGAATCTATTCTATCAAGATATATCTATATATATAGCAAGTTTAAGAAACATTGACATGTGTAGATGAAAATAACCATAAGAATATCAAGCAACGTCCAAGAAAGTAAAATCAATCATGAAAGGGAATGCTACTTGTATGGAGAGCAGTTTAACAGTCTAAAAAAATTAACTTTAACGAACAAACATCAGTTACTTCAACATGTATGAATTTCCTTGCCTCCATTGTGTTTCTCCCTCTTGATTCTCATTTAAAATATATTCATTAGGGGATGTAATAAATATGACGTAATAATAATTACAAAAACGAAACATATTTGGTATTTCCCTACTCACACTTTCAGTTTCGTTATACCAAAGATCAGCTTTCAGAACACATTAAAAAGTAAAGAATTGTTTCTAAAAATCATGATACAATCCTATAGTAATAATTACTATATTTAACACTGCAATTTTATACAATCATCTTTTGTAATTGATGAGAAGAAAATTTGAATCTATGTGACATTCTTTTAGATTGAAAACAATAATTTTCTACATCTTGTTCCTGTTCCAATCTTAAACGTTTGTGCATTTTTTCAGCCCTTTGTTTCACAAAACCTCATTTTGTTTCTCAAGTATCCAAGATGAAACAAAACAATAAGATAATTTTCTAAAATTGATAGAATTGTAAAACAAATTGAGCATTCAACCAGAAGAGAAATTTGAGAAGTAAAATTTAGAAAGTTTGAAATCTGAGATACATTTGCATAAGAAAACCTTCAACTTAATACTGTGCTGAAAATTTTGCACAGGTTCTTATGACTCACACAGACTCACTACCGCCATTACCAAATGAAGCCGCTACAAGGTTCTGCCAAGCTGATCTGCCTTTCAATTAGTAGTTTTTACGTCATCACAGAAATTATAGTTGGTTGGCAATTATTATAAAGTGTATACCCAAAATGTCATCATTGGAAAAGACCCTCAGTCTCGTTATGCCTCATGAATTAACTTTGCAGTTTCGGCATTTTGTAAGGTAAAAAGCAAAATCAATCGTAACCCGAGTTCACAAAAAAGAAATTATTCCAGAACAAAATTAAGACATTACTTAACTCCACAATGCAAAAATTTGCTTCAGTAAGAATAATTAGCCCAGAGAATAAAGCCAATGATGAAACAAAATCAGAAGGCTTAAATAAAGAAAAAAAAATAGATTGACTTTCACAGATTTCAAAGGTGATACAATAACATTAACTCAAACATACACTTTTAAATTGGTCAAAGGTACATCACATTTTTGTATATAACTAACATATAGCTTAGAAAAAGCTACATTTAAGGTACTAAAGCTAAATGCTATAAGAATATTGTTGGATTTCCGTTACGCATACATATTCTAAAAAACTATTTAGACAACGTAAGAATTATTTCAAGGACTTTTTCTGTTAAGCGAATTATTAATAATTTAGTGTTGATAATAGAGGTAGCGACATACTGGGCAACAAGCAACAGGTCTCTGAAACAAGCCGCTCTATGTGTATTGCTTTCACAACCAGTGGCTGTAACGTGCTATGGGAACAAATTGCAGTCACAGTTCGCCTCATGTAAAATGGGGGATTTTCACGAAAATTCCTGTCTCTGAATCAAAGTTTTGTCACTGAAATCAGTTACACAAATTCAAACCAAGTTAAATTCATGCAATTGATCACAATGAAAAAGTTCAGTCAAAGCCCTGAAGTTTCTTTTACAAAAATTCCCCACATCATACGAGACACAATGTTGATGTAATCTGTCCCCATGACATGTTGCAAGAACTTGATGTGGAGCCATTTTGCTGTGGAGATGTAGTGGCGTGGCTGGGTCCAATTGGTCCCAACATTGATTAGCACACAACTACAAACTTGAAAAAGAGATTCCTTAAAATCATATATATATCCTGTTGCAGCGATTTGTCGCCCAGTGTGTCTCAGCCTTTCACCCTTTAAGAGGGCTCTGGACTAAAAAGTATATAATCTACTCTTGCTTGCAAGTCCTGGGCAGCATCCATGGGCCAAGATCTTGGCACCTCGTGGCCGACTTGAAGCATTATTTTCATCATGATCTTCTTCAGAAGAGTCATAAGGAACGCCTCCAGCAAGTTCATTTGGTTTGGGCTTATTTGCATCCTCTGCTAAGGTACACATAATGAAGGTATAACAAGACTTAGATCGTGAAATTTCCTGAGTTGAAATAAAAGCTGTTTAAAAGCTACATAGGATCTTTGGCTATCTGAAACAGCAGGTTCATTCCAAAAAAAACAACAACAACAACAAAGTCGCTATGAAAGGGATATACTGGTTCAAGCTTTCATTTGATGGCCACGTGCTTGATTATGAATGTTAAAATTAGCAAACACTTATGTAACTAAGACCCTGACGAACTGATCATATTAATGGCTGTTCATTACACAAGTAATTGCATATCAGTAGCACGATGATTTCTTAGAGGATAAACAACATTGACATTCGGAAAGAATCACACTGTTAAAAGCTTTAGGAACTAACCAGATTACTGGTCTTTAATCACACAAACGAACACATTACAAACACAATGAATTCTGAAAAGAGATGTACACATGAGGACTACATAATTAGTATGAAGTGAACTTCATTAAATAAAGCACATAAAACAGCTGTCATTATTATTATTATTATTATTATTATTATTATTATTATTATTATTTAGTGCATATATTTTAATCTCTGTTAGGTGTAATCTTAAGCGATGACAATTAGAATGATTGTTGTTACGTGGTCAAGAAAATAAATAAGATGCACTGTTTCAAATGGTACTAAATCACTTTCCAAAATTTTGCATTTGTTATACCTTCATTACATGCCCTACGATGCACAAGAGCCACAAAAAAAGCACATTGAAAGTATTATTTACGCGAGAAAATTTTCAGTTTCTTTCACTTTCATTTTTAAGACAAATGTCAAATCATTGATCTAAGTAATCACAGTTTTAACCATGCATCTAGAAGTTACAGGTCATGTAAAGTCTGCCTTTGTGCCAGAAAAAACCAATGGCAAGTTTCACAAAGGATCGAACCGTATTCCAAGCAGTAATATATAATTAAGAGAATGTGCATATGTAAACGTGATGTAACGTGAATTCCAACAACAGTGGACATAAGTTGATGTGCAAAGGTCTTTTAATGAAACAACACACTTTCAATACACTTGTGTATATGTTTGAGAAACTAGAGTGGTACAACACAAAATTATTTCATGTTATTAACTCTGCACTAGATTACAGGAGAAAAACAAAGTAATGTTAAAGCTGTGGCATAAACGTAATACATCTGCTTCTTATACTGAATCAGTATGAAGAAAATGCGTGCCATACACTATCATAGAAAAGTGCTAGGGTAACAGAAATCGCAAGGCTATAGAAATCAATAAAATAACACGAAATCACACTAATGTAACTGAATCATTTTGCGTTGAACACTTGGAAGCTGTCGCTTCACAATCAATATTAGATGAGGCCAATCTTAATACTCTTTGATTCATGCATCCATGCTGACGAAATCGAGAGCCAAATCCAACTAAAACTTTAACAGGCATTAGCAAAAGCAACCATCTATACTCTCTCATGTTTTTACGGCAGACAATTCCAGACAAATTTCAGTGGTTAAGCTTGACAGTGCATTTGCACTAACCACCCGAAAAAACTTAAATTACCAAATGAAATAAGAAATATGTGGTGCTTTGTTTAGAAGACAATGTTCGCTTATTTATTACAGTCCACAACTAAGGGAAAACATATGGGACCTATCAGTTCTTCCCACTGAAATGTCCCTTCAAACCCTCCTTGGCTACAGGTTTAGGAAGTAAAGTTTTTCCCCAAACAGGTTCAAAACGACTAGTGCTGCATCTGACATGCAAAAGAATCTTTCTTCTATGCTTGACAGGAAACTCTTTTTACCTAATGAAGTCACTCAGTTTGAAGATTTGGCAGATACCCTTCATATGCTTACGGATAATTCTCTAATGTCTGCCTATTTAATAATGGTAGCACGAAGACCATCATTACCTTTAAGCGAAACATTGATCACAATCCCCCATCCAAAACAACACGCAGTTATTCAATTATTTGGTATAATATCAATGCCAACGTTTTGAAGGCAAGGCATTTAAAAACTAAAAACAGGTTTGACCTGTCTGTTAACTTGATCCTGATACTGAAAATTAGCCAATGAAAACGAGTCTACTTAAGATCTAAATGTGCAATATGATGTACAGTACACACTTGTGAAATGACAAGGTTGCCAGAAGCTAATATTAGTTTTCTACAATTAAATATTGATGCAGGAATTTCCAACAAAACAAATTGAGTTCATGTTAAATCATGAGTAATTTTAACTGCTTAATAAATGTGTGACAGAGAAGCCAAAGCCAGACGATGGAATATATTTCAAAGATTTTCAAGATACAAAACAGTCCTTCCTTACAGATCAAAGAATTATCTGAACAGTCAAAGAACCTGGAAAAGCTTAGTACTCCACACTCATGTTTGATTCCTTGGAAAATAGCTGAACTCAAAATGCTTTGTCCTAACACTGAGCAAATATAGATAAACACTAAAGTCTACTCAAAATGTAAAACTGGAAATGTAACTTGTGAGGTGGTAAATGTCAAGTTATGACGATAACATGCAAAACTTACTGTTTAGAGTATGCCGTGCTCTTGCACTTGTACAGTAAGACTCCACAACTCGGAGAATAAGCATGTCTTCCTCTAGTACACGGCTATTTCCTGAGGAGAAAACACGTGATCGATGAACTCAGTTTTTTTAAAATCAATAATTCCATATCACTTGTTGGCATAAATAGTATCCAATAATTGCCTAAGCATTAAAAATATTTCTTTACAATAGCAATATTATCAAACCAATTCAAAATGCAACCCTAAATTTTGTTTGTTCTTTAGATACAGGTAGCAACCATGAAACGTCTTGAGGTTCAAATTACAAGCACATACAAAATTCCATTCAAAATTAGCTGATATCTTTTTCTAATAATTTTTCTCGCCCTTGTTTATAACTTGATTTTTAGTTTTAATTTAAATAATTGGTCTAAAAAATTAGAAATTTCGCTTAATCTTGTGGTCTGATTTTTCTGCTGAGAGGAACCCTGAAAAGGACTGTTGTCAGGAGCTGACTATTGTATGCCAACCTGAGCTGAAGTCTACATCAGAGTCACTTCCCTTAAATTTCGTTAAAACATCACTCACAGCTACTGACATCAACTCATTTTCTGGATTACTCGCACCCACATGATCAGACTACACAATCAACTATTACCCCTGACTTCAGATCATTTTATTTGTGAAGATATTCTTATGCTACCTACCATTACAGTAATATCCTTATGATAATGGTAACATGAAAGTCATGTAAACTCAGATAAATGGGCCCAGTGTAACTAACTTCAAACAGATTAAGGCTTACCTGAGGTACTGTTGGTTCTTTCATCATCAAGTTCACTCTTTGACCGGCCTTTAAAGGTAAAAGAAAAACGGTAACTACAAAATTGCAGTATAATAAAATTTAATTATGTCAGTTAGATATGCATGACAACAGATTAAACGCTGATTGTACCATTACTCAATTCTACATTATTTCAGCATCAGTTTATCTCATTGTCAGTTACAATCACTGGTGTTTAGTAGACATAACTTATTTTGTTTTTTTAATAGAACATTAACAAAATTGAATTCAAGCCTGCACACCAACTTTGCACAATATCAAACAATTCTTTAATAGATGATTTGAAACACAGTTGATGGCAACAGAGTATAATTATAAAGTAACTTAATTTCCACAGTCAAGTTTTAGAGACCCAATAACACAACTGCATTAGTTAACTGAGGAGGATTCCTGAACTCTACCCAAAGAGCAAATACAAACAACCATGGGTTATCGGGTATCTCTTCAACATCCATTTTTAAAACAGTTTTCTGATTCAGTTCATATTCCCAAACAGAGAAACCCTGAGGGTGAAACACTTTCTCAGGAACAACTGTTCTAACTTTTTCATCTGAAGTAAAACACACCAGTTTTTGCCTCTCAAGTACCAAAATTATCTCTACCCAAGCCATACCACTGGTAGAGCAGTATGATTGTTAGACAGACTGATGGCAGTAAGTGAAAACAGAAAGACCTTCAACCATCTAACATCACTATGTTTATTCTTCAAATTATTCTCTATACATTTCCCAGCCCAACAAAGAGAATTTGTTTAACAATCAAGAGCTTTGTGAGTTGATGATAATTTTATTTACTTAATGTGTGATTCAGGGGTGATATTGTGAGGAGAAATTACATGCTAATCACTCTTAGCATCAAAGGGTTACCAAAAAAGCCACCTCTCAAATCTAATTTAAAGACCCATTGACACCCTGAATAAATAATTTGAATTTTTTTGGTGGCTATGCTGAAAATCTTTGCATTAAATATTGTCACTTGGGAGAAAAGGGTTAATAGAAAACTGTAGTTGACAACTGGAACAAAAAAAAAAAAAAAAAAAGATGAGCTCCCTTTTAATCATATTTTCATTTATTTTGCAAGGAGGTTTTGAAGCTACTAATTTGAGATACACGCAAGTTAAGAGCATCCCATAGTATTAAAAGGCTGGAGGCATTAAAACTTTAATTAAGCAGGAACAATTTGAGAAATTTATTTTTAGCAAAAAGTTACTTACAATCCGAAGTGCAAGATTTGAAAGATGTAAGAGGATTAAGCGTAAGACAACCTACAAGAGAAGTTATTCATCACCTTTGAAACTTGGCCTTGAGATGGAAACTGGTTGAAGGGGAGGAGATAGGTTTCTGATGTTAGTTCAGAAGTTTAATAAGTTTGTATACTTCACAAAATAAATCCATAAATTTAAAAGTTGAAGATGATTAATTTCAGGTGTGGTTATTTAGTGAAAGACGATGTTATTCAGTAAATGACACAGACATACTTACAACAGAGAAAAAGAACTGCTGCAAGTGCTCCTAACGCTAAGAGGTTGTAGGTTTGACTCTCATAGGGAGCACTAAGAGTTCTTTTTCTGCAAGTACGCCTGTGTTGTTCACAAAATAACATAACCTTTCAAATTAAAAAAAAAATTCAAATTTTCTGACTTTTAAGTATTTTACATGTTATGTTTTCATTTGATCAACATCAGTTTGATTTATGGGGTTGAAACTTGTACAGTAAGTGTCTCTTTTCTGATTAAAAACAAGCCTCCTATATTAACTTTGATTATAAATCTTCACTGTCTGTAAAACATGCATTTCTAGGGATGAAAACCAACTATATCAGGGATGTTAAGCACACCCTATGACTGAGTTTTAAGGAGACTGTTAGTGTGAGTTATGTTTCAACCCCTAAAAATACTTTCATAAAATTTTAATATCGTTATTAATAAACTGTGGCAGTTGATCTACAATTTCATTCATTATGAGAATCAAATAAATTTCTCCTGTTAATGTAATCCAAGCTCGTTTATCATAGAGTGATTGCTGCCCACTAAATAGTAATAATACTCCTTCAAGCTCCAGTAATTTAGCAACCCTACAACTACATAAAAGGTGGAGCGATTTCTACTATGGGTGCAAATGGATTCAAACGGTAAAGTATATCGTTTGCCTTGGTTTACAAGATGTTAATCTTTTGCCTTAGATTAATTAAACCATTCTTTAAAATGGAATTTAAAGGATATAAATGTTATTTTAACCCTTTAACTCCCTTAAGTGACCAAGACAGAATTTCTTCTTACTATATTAATAAAATATCAACCAGATAAGTGATGAGAATAAAGAAAAATATCAATTTTGGGGATAATTAGTTGATCCAATACTAAATTCTCCGAACTATCATTAAAAGAATTGTATGGTTAACAGTGAGGAGAAATACAAATTTCATCTGGGAGTTAAAAGGTTAAATACAGCTAGAAGACTTGTGGGCTGGGTTGTTCAAAGCTGGGTTAATTTAGCCCAGGGTTAAATGTGAAATCTGATTTCCAATTTGATGGCTTTGAAAGAAAATTGAGTACAATTCTCTTTGTCTACAATTTGATAATTGGAAGCTCTAAAAGTAAAAGAGAAAATTTATCTGTAAAAGGCTTTTGAACAAAGGAGTTGAGAAACCGGGATAAAAATTTAACCCTAGATTGGCACACATCCGCATTTGAACAACTGGGCAGTGAAGTTGAAAGTAGATAACCAGTCATGATGCAAGTGTCTGAGGTGAGCTGAACATTCTATCCAATTCTCTGACTTACCCTGTTTCTTTCTTGATGAATAAAGCAGGCCCCTCATAGATCGATGTGCTGTAGATGTATCCTTCAAAAAAAAAAATTTAGAATTTACTTCCTGACAAGTTGTTCTCAAATTCCTGTACAGGAAAGAAAGAAATTTGCCTTTTAGGCTCAATTGGTAATGGCCCCCAACTGGTATCTGCAAGGCACAAGTTAAAATAATGGTGAAGCCTGAAAAAGTTTCAGGCTTCTCTTCCTGAAAAGGTTGATGTAACAATTATTGACTTTTTACTAAGTTATAAAATTTTTTGTTTCAGTACATTACCTCCTTAGCGATCAGTGCATATGCTGGTCTCAGGGGTGGAGTGGGTCTAAGCCTGGTGAAATCCCAGCGTCCTTTTCTGTTTGGACTGTGAGGGGCTGAGCTGAATGCAGTCAAGTCAGTAGCTACCGAATGTGACGTCGATACAGAACGGAACTTGGAACCATCACTAGAAGACTTCATATAAATAAGCACAATAAATAAGCATTATAGACAAAGTGTTGAGATGAAGAAAGCTGAAGATTACCTAAAGGTTTCACTTTAAGGAACTACAGGATTGCTGTAATATCATTCATAGAGTTGAAAAAAGGTTTCTCAGAGGTCAGAGAGCTATTTAAAGGTAGTTTTTCCTTCTTTTTCAGTGGCCAAACAGAACACATGATTTACTTTATCTTTTAAAAACTTGCATATTATAAACTGAGCTTGAATCAAAACAATGTTAACTCCCATTTGGAAAACAGATCTGTTTCTTAATCAACTGAACAGGGTTTAATTTGGTATATTTCAAAAAATTGGAATTATGCTAAGTCTGTAGATACTGAAGCTGAACACCAAGTCTACTGTTCAGCATTAAGCATTCTCCTTTGCAGACAGTAACTGGTAAAATTCACTCTCTGTAGTACCACTTGGTACCATCTAAAAGTTGCTTGGAATTCTTGAAAATTCAAAAGGTAAAAGGATTGCTCTACAGGTTTGCACATTTCCTTTACATATTGTGCTTAAAATAAGGTAGAACACTTAAAAAAAGCAACATAAATTGTAATAGACTGAAAAATGTAGGAAAAGGAAATTCAGAGTCTCAACCTTCAAAATCTCTCTGAAGGACCTACACCTCCATTGGAGAAGGAGGCTCTCCCACCTTCAAAACTACCTACGAGCTATTCTTCAATACCCATTTGAACCAAATATTCTTGAAACTACTGAGGGTGTCATTAATTGTTACCTGTGAGTGTACACCAGAGGTGCTTATAGAACCCTTGGGTGTGGCTGAATTTGGTGGTGATCCAATAGAGTCACTTCGGGGAGGGCTCGACTTTGAATAAGTTCTTTCTGACAGTGACCCTGGATTTCTCTCCACCCATGGGGATGGTGAAGTCACACTGCCTTTCTCTGAGTGTTGCCGAATCCTTGAACTTTGCCCTGGCGGTTGAAATGCATCAAGCCAGGCATTCTTCTCATGAGGATGGTTTGTAGAAAGCTTCATGACATCTCCACTGACTATAAGGTCAACAACAAAGGTGTGTCAATAATTTTACCTCTCATAACTTTTAGCTCTGTGATGGAGGCCACTTCAATGGGTTTTCTATACTCCCTTACTCATTTGTAAAATTCATCTGATAATTTCAGAATTTTGCCACCAATTAAATACAAAATGTAACACACACAGGCAGCATCCAGTCTTCCTTTAAATCTGTGTTTTCCATCGATTAAACTAAATTTAATTGTGGTCTCAACACCATCATCCTGACAGAAGAATGGATGAACAATAGAACTATAAATTCAATTTGTGGCAGCAATGACTACAATAAGCAACCCAAGAACTTTACTTCTCTGATGTCACAAAGAACAACCCAAACCAAACAAACTCTGGTGTCCAAAAATCAATAATGGATGCCACGGCCACAACAATATAATTGCAAGATTCTGATCTAAGAGACTAATCTATTCAGTTTAATTCTACCTCAGAGATAGCACTTGCCTTTTATCTCAAAAGCATTCAGAATGCCTTATTTAATATCACAAAGAACAACCCAAAACAAACAAACTCTGGTGTCCAAAAATCAGTGGTGGATGCCATGGCTACAATAATATAACGTCAAGATTCTGGTCTAAGAGACAAATCTATTCAGTTTAATTCTACCTCAGAGATTACACTTGCCTTTTATCTCAAAAGCATTCAGAATGCCTTCCGAATCTTCTAGTGAACGTATGGTTAAGTCTGATAGGCCATACTTTTTCTGAAAAAAAAAAATTTATTATTTTTAGTTAGTGCAATATTAGCTTTTGATCCCTAAGAGAACCAAGCATCTAATTTCTCCTTACAATATCACCTCTAAATTCCACATTAAGGTCACAAGAATAAAGGATATGATCATCAGTTAAACAAGGTCTGGTTGTTAAAGAAATTCTCGTTGTCAGCACCTAATGAAATGTATGGACAGCCGTATAGAGAATATGCATGCTGATGATAGGGTGTGAAAGGTTAATAAAGGAAAAGATAACAGGTGATAAGGATTAAGATACATCAATCAAACTGATTAGGTGCTATGATTAAAAATAAATGTGCTGCTAAAATTTGACATCAAAAGAAATTAAAGGGGATTAGTAACAAGAACTATCACTATTCTGCTTGAGAATAACACAAGCACAAAGGCAAGTGAATAAAAATTAGCTTTTTCCCACTACAAGAAAAAAAAACTCACCTCAAATTTATAGCCACATGCATTGGCATTTACTGATAGGATAATCATACAGTTTGGGAACAGCAGAAAGGATCTCTCTCTGACCTCCTGTGTAACACATCAATGAGCAAAATATGTGAGGTCCTGTTGTTGATATTGCAAGGTTAATATTGATAAGTGAATTTATCATCCCAAACAACACGCTGACAAGGTGAGATCTCAAAGAAAACACTGTGGTAAAGCTATCTCATATCAAGTAATCCTAAGCGATCTTTTTAACATAACAAGCATTCCTTGGCTGTCACTAATGCTTGCAACCTGCAGATACCCAAGGTTTACTCATTATAATAAAAACATAATGAATTACCTACTCAGCCTGATCTTTTGTAATAAACCTTTTTTCAAAAGAGTTTTCATGAAATATCCCAAAACATAATAAAAGTGGAAGCTACATTATTTTAATTCAATATGCTTGAAATTGAACACCACTGTTATTGAGAAGACAGGAAATTGGTGACAAAGAATGAATTAGTTGTTGACTTCAACGTGTATTGAAACAATATGGAAGAATGCTACGAATGCAGGCATCTTCAGAAGAGATGTTAAAAGGTTAGATGTATAGGTCTACTATGTAAACTTGCAGACAGGTCTGGTACATATGGCAAATGGATTTATATCCTGTAGATGATTGTCTTTCAAGTGAACTACCCTCATTAGATTTACATGTGCACCTTTAACATGTAACATTCAAATTCAAAATGAGTGTAAATTTTCAATATTGTTTAAGCTTGAATTTTCTTATCAATTTATAGTGACCAGAGTGTTCTAAAATGTGACTATGGGCTACTCAGAATGAAAATAACATCTTAAAAAAAGGAAAAAAACTGAAAGGACTTGTAAATATGAGACAATAAGAATAGATAGAGTCCATTTAAAAATAGTAGTGCTATAACTGAGGGAATTAGTTAAATTAATATACATTTGCATGAAGCTAAAGTATAACTTCTTTGGTGAAGACAAACCACACACTAATATGACAGTCCTCTAAATTCTTATCATCTGGCAATTCCTTAACCAGACAATTCTGTTGCCCAGTAACACTAAAACAATAATATAAATTGTGTTGTATATGATCTAAATGTTATCCAGGTTAGGAAATAATTAGACTTCCATTAATCATCCTTGGGCTTTCAGATGAACTTACTGTATAACAAAAACTTTAATTTATTGTTCCTTACCCCATTTTCTCCATGTATCAAAAACTGTGACATCAAAATGAGGTCGCCCTGTTTGCTTATGTCCTGAAAAAAATTAATGTTAATTAATAAAATGTTAATTAGTTAATATCACAGTTTTATCAAGATAATTTTGATGTGGGTTCCAATTGGTTTAACCAGGCATGAAGTAAGTACATAACTTAGACAATGAATTAACACTGCTGTATTAAATCCATCAAACAGCACAGTTTTAATAACCAGGTAATAAAATTCTCTTGTGAAATAGTAAATGAATGATTTCTTTATTGAGTAACAGAGCAATTGTATGGCAGTGAGGAACGAGTATGAATTTGTTTACAATCTGAGCATTTTGGAATCATAAAAAGTACTCTGAAAGTAATTATGCTTAGAAGACTAATAAAACTGCAGAAAATTTGAAGAGAAATTTTAACCTCTCTTCAATACTAAGGAACTCTGACATGCATGGTATGTATGTCCCTTGTTATTAAATATTTCAGTTTCACTGGAGCTCCAGAATAAAACTCAAAATTAAAGCCTTACAGTTAAAGTTATTATACCTAATCAACAAAAGTTATGACAGATCTTAGTCAAAAGGGTTCACAAGACACACTTACACATGCACAGAGTTTGAACTTATTTTATACATGTATTGAACATGAATAAGACAGAATGGAAGGTTTGGTGGTATAAACATGAACATCAAGAAAAACCATACCTCACACAAATTAAGTTAAATTGATATATTTCATTCCATACAAGAGCAATTTTCTCATTGATGTAAATGAATGTTTGTCAAACAGGGAGATAAAATATCTCTATTTTATCAAGTAATAAGACCATGATCTTGAGTTTTCTCCTCAATATCACTTTACCTCTTCTTCCCATCCCTCTATAGTTCCTGTAAGCATTTCTAACTCTGTTTCTTTTCGTTTTCTAGTTTCATGGCAGCTGGTCTGAAATGGAAGGAAATTGCCTGTATTTACTCCACAGCCGCAAGGCAAAAGTCGCATTATCAACATCATCAACTGTGGAGTGTCTTGTGACACTAGACACTTCAACCCCAAACAAACTTTAGTGCTGCAAATTCACAAGTATTCTGCAAGTCTTCAAGATATCAAACAATACCATAGTTACAGTCATACTGGCAATGACAAGTATGGTATTAAGAACTTAAGTGATTATGGGTTAATCTCCCAAAGGGGAAGGGTGACATTGTGACATGAGATCAGATTACCAATGCAGACACAATCATGGCAGTTATTTACAATTATGGCAAACCAGCCAAACCCAAATGTTCTCAAAACATGCTTCATTAGGGTCTTCATTAAGACATTTTCAGTATTTCCACACAAGTTGCCATTTCTTGAATTCATGCCAGCACAGAAAGAGTCATTTATTAGCAAAATCAAACAAAAAAGCATGAATGAGGGTTCAGCATCAAAAAAAAATTTCCATCTGTAAAAGAATGAGATAACACTGAAATGTGTTGAGCTAATGTTTTTCAAGTTTGCCCCAACATAATCTCTGCTTTTAGTCTTGTCAACTTCTGCCTAATTGTGCTCATTTTGTAGCTTCTGTGTCCTGAATTTGTTTCCTTGTCAAAGATTCACCCTCCAAACTACCAAACATAATTAACATGTAACCTGTCCTCACAACTGCAATTTCAAAACATTATCCAGCATGCAAGTGGTGAGGAAGGACAGATTTTTCACATATGTTTTTTGTCATAATGATAAATATTTTAATTCTTCTAGCTAAATGACAAAGAAATTAGCAGAGAATTACAAATCAGATAATAAGATCTCATATGTAGCCCATTTCAAAAACCAGCTGGCTATTGCTGTGAATATATTTACAGCTAAATTTATATGGCCTAGTGCTACTAATACTCACAGTCAAGTTCTGAAACACAGCAATGGCCTTTTTAGTATCCAGTTCATCTACATGTCCCTCCTTTGAAAAGAAAAGCAATCAGAGTAAAATTCCTAGTCATGTTTCCAAAAATAAAATTAATCATGAACTTAAAAATAACTGTCCAGAATCTTCCATTGATTTAAAAAAGGTTGCCATAATAATTCTTTGACAATCAATGGAAAAAACAATAGGATTTCCTTCTGAAAGAAACACATGCTTGATCTTAAAAAAACAAATAATCCAAATTAAATAACTAAAAAAAGAATAACATTGGTAATTCTGGTTATATTTTGTCAACCAGAGTCTCCTATGACATAAAACCTACAAAAATAATTCCAGGGGTAAAATAAGGAAAAAAAATTGGAGATGCATTTCAAAACTATTCTTTTTGAATTAGAATTAAATAAATATGAACCTTCCACCCTTCCATTCCACAGCCAGGGTGCTATTGTGAAAAAGATTTTTACCTAATTTTGATGATGTAATAAATCTTTGTTTCACTTCAGATATAAGGATTATTCAGCTGTTTCTTTACAAAATTCTTCTACAATTTCTTATCTGAACGAAAACCCTGTCCTGTGATCTGCAGCAATACTTTCACCTGACAATGTTAATACTAATAGCATTTGTTGTAAACCCATTACCTCAAGATGGCGCTCCAGTTCTTTCATATGATTTGGGTACTTGCCAAGATGTCTAAAAGGCTGATGATAAATAAATCACCTCAATTTATTTTGATGCATAGATGGTGAAAAAATTGTTTGTAATTAATATTAATTAACAAATCACAGCACAATAAAAGTTCAATATTATAATCTTTGGTTCACAGTATTTGTCTTTTTGGTTTTAAAACACACAGCCAAATTTTCAAATATGGTTTATTTTGTCAGGGAGAACACAAGGACAGTCAGTTTTAAAGCAAAATTAATGAAGACTAATTTTATCAAGTGACGCATTGGAATTTTTAATCAAAAAAGAGGGATTTTGGTTTAAATCATCTGATAAGAATTGAAACAATGACCTTTTAGGTTAAAATAACAACAGCTTTATAACTGTGAGAAAATGAAAAAAAAAACAAGGCAGCCATGTGAATAATTAAGATCCATAAAAACTGAAAGTTAACAAATTTAAAAGAGAAACTGGAATTTTCTGAGAAAAAAAAACATTAAAATTGGTTACTTTAAACAAGAAACTGTTGAAGCTAACAATAATCTTTCTTGTCTAATGCCACACCGCTTAATCCTCAATGATAAAAATGTTAATAATAAAACCAACAACAACAATGATAATAGTAATTATAACAATGATAATAACAATGACAATTTTTTTTCCTGGGCTGGATGGTCAAAAAAATGAAGTTGTGTAGTTACAGAAACTTGTAAATTAAATTCCAATTCTGTTGGTCAATCTACTGTTTTCAAATCAAACATTAATTCATACAAAATTTTCTTAAAAAAATTCATTTCTTCAATTTGCCAACTTGAAGCAAGACAGTGTAAGTCAGCTGCAATAAATCAAACTTAAAGCTATTTTCCTTGAGGTATGAATTTCTCGCACATCTCACACTGCTTTTCATTTCCCTCAAGACAGTGTTATTAAGTGAAGTTCCACCATAAATTTGAACTCACATTGCTGAGGCTTGTCGTCAAAGTTAGTATTCCAGGTGCTGGTGCTCCTTTGCTTTCAATAAAGGCTGATAGCTCATCACTGCAAAGCAGTAAACAACAGTCAAAACTTTATTAAGCTTCCAACATTTTAGGGCCATGGTTTTACACTAGCAGGGAACCTTGAGTATTTTCTATGAGAGGGTTGTTTTCATTAAATAAATGTCCTTCCACAACTAAATTTTGGCCCCCTTGACACTGTTCAGAAAATAAATGTTTAGATGAAAGATGGACCAAATTTCAAGATGGTTTAGAACACAGTTTTGTTAAACAATGGCAAAACTTAGTTTACACAACCTGCCCTTAGAGTTCAAATGAAAAATGTCCCAGCCTGACCAGTCTTGGAAATACCAAGACAAAGATGGACTGTTTAATGACTTTATCAGTTCACCTTGCCAGAATAATGTTTGACGCATTTAATGTTAGATTGAACAATAATACCTATGTATAAAAGTATTAATAACTGTTTAAAGTTACCTGTATTTTGTTAAGACCTCAACTGCTCTAGGGTGGTTTGCACAATACATCAGATACAATTCCTTCATCTGTTATTTTGGAAAGTAAACGAATAAAAACAATGTTAACAATCCTTATCTGAAATTGCATGTACCCCAATACTGAATAAAGTACATCACTTTAAAAGGATTGTTATGGCTAACAGACAGGGACCATCTAGGGTCTTGCTTAAGGTTAGCCCCTTTACACCCTAATATCAGTATGCATACTCTCTATACTGCTCTCTGTAAATTTCCTGAGGTGCTGACAAGGAGAATTTGTCTAATCAGCCAAGAGCTTCTTTAGTCTGTGATCATCTCCTTTATTCTTGTATGTGTGCGGTTAAAGGGTTAAAATCCACAAAGGAAGTAGAAAATCATGTATGTCAAGACAAAAAACAGACTTCACACAAAATATTTGGGTGGGTCTATGCAGTAGCAGGAAGGAGGAAATGAATGAACTTGTGTCATCCTGCTTTGAACCTAAACCAGAGCTGAGATCAGCAACAGGCGATCCCACAAAAAAAACTGTTCAAAAGCAAAAACTGTTGCTGACTCTGCTTACCTGAGGAGCAATCTGCAAGTAGCTAGCCCCCATTCTTTGTTGAGGTAAGGCAAGTCTGAGGCAAAGCAAATAAAAAAATAAATAGTAATGGATAGTAAAACATTAATTCCTGATTGAGTAGATATTATTAATATGTAATCATACTATTTTTCTTGTGAAAATTAGAGTAAATAAGCACTTGTAAATTTCTCTTAAGACTAAAAAAATTCAACTTGCCCTTTGGGTTTGTGCAATATTGTTGGTCATTGGAAAAAATTACCCTTGATTATTCCATCAAAATTGCACCAGAAATTATGCGATTATCTGAGCAAATATCCATGGAAACTCAATGTTACACCAAGATTACAAATCTAACTTCTGACTAATACATCTTCCCATTCTTTCTAACTTTTCCTAAGATAATGTTTTGATTTTGAAAGGAGAGATTGAATTTAACTAACTTCTGATAGTTCAAGAGTTGACCCCTTGACTCCCAACATCTGATCATTAATTCTCCTCTCTGGCTACTACTCATTTCCTAGCTAATTAGTCACAAGAATTTATTGTTAGATCAAGATGACAACTTTTACCTGATAGCTTTGAGTATTCTCATTACCTGTTTGCTGAATAATGTATAGATATTGCAGGGAGAAGTTACATGTTAATCACTTCTGGGAGTTTAAGGGTTTAGCTGACCAGAGGCCAACCTCACCACTGGGAGAAACGTATTCCTAACCAGGGTATAGAGGGTATGATGACCCATATAAAACAACATTAATTTCTTACTGTGCACATTCATCCATGATATTGAAAAACATCTGCTGAAACTGGACAATCTCCTCAAAGTTTCCTGCAAGAACCTTCATGTCTTGTGCTGGTAATCTGTTATTTAAACAAGAGAAAAATGAACATCAGCTATTTAGGATTCAAGAAGCTACATCATTTTATCATGGGCCATTTTTCAGACCACCTACAACTGCCTTTCATTCTGAGGAATTGCAGTTGTTTTGGTGAAATGTATTCATGGACAACATGACAGCTGAAGTGGTTATGAAGAAGTTGTTTGATAAGTGTGCCTAACCCTCATTAGAGCATTACGAGCAGTGCTCCTCTAAGTAAATGTGAGGTTTCATGTAAAAAAACAGTTTTATCTCCAGTTGATAAGCTACCACTATAATGCCTAACAAGAGCTGTTATAATAAATAATATAATTATAGTTACAAATACTTAAATTAACCACATGATACAATACTCAAACTTACGTGTTTGAAGCCTGTAAGGGTTTTAAGTAATTTTGTAATAAAGCCTGTAAACAAAAAAAGTGATCATCCAAGCTTAGGAGAATTCAAAACATTATTAAAAATTAATTACCAAACAGTATCACAGTGTGACTTCTTTTTCTTGGATCACATCAACTACACATAACTGATTTTAAAAATACTGATTACCAACAGCATAACATGTCTAATTTGTTGCAACCCCATAGTAGTCACAATCCAAATTTAAGAAATTTCATAATTTTCATCTTCATAATGATAACCATGTACATTTTTGAATGTAAACTAGATGACAAAAAAATAGTTGATGATTGAAACTTACCTGTAGTTCACTAACATGAGCTCTCTCAGTGTCCAATATGTTTTGAACGACCTGTGTGAGACATAGGAGGAATGAACACAGAAATAAAGTTATGTTTAAAAAAAATTATAATAATGATAAAACAGATAATGAGTAAAAAGCACAATGAGTAAAATGAGTAAAAGCACAAGTATGGTAAAATAAATGCAAATCTCACCAAGTTATGGTAGACCCTTGCACTTTCCCTTCTGCTTGTTGATGATGATGATGATGGCTGGGGAGTGACTGGTGTTGTAGGTTCAGGACCTGGATGTTAATGAAGAAATATTTTTTGATAATTAAATGCATTTAATAATATATAACCACAAGTCAGTTATGGGGATTGTTGAGGTTCACCTGCATGAACTCCAAATCAAAGTGTCCAGTGCTATCAATATGCATATTCTCCATACTGTTTTTAATTTATTTCCTGTTTTACTGGCAAGGAGAATTTGACCAATAATCAAGAGTTTCTTTAGTTGGCGATCATTAAATCAGTTCTCATGACCTTATGGAAGGTGGTCCCTCCTAAGGGTTCCTAATAAAAGGATAGGAGGGGTCAGTCATAAGATAGTTTTGTCAAGTTATTCAAAAATACTTTTTGTACAAAGAATCTCTCCATCTTCTTGACAATAAATGGATGCCAACTGACATTCAAAAAATTTTAAAAAGTGTGGCAAACCAGGAATGAAATGCTATCTTGTCTCATCTCCTTGATATGGTTTTACCTATCCTGTTTCAGGATGGGCGGAAATGCCTTTCGTGTATCTTAACCCTAGAGGGTTAAGGGTGCAGGTACCCATAATAATAACATCATGAGCCACACTTACTTGCTGATATCTCTTTCACATAGTTGCTAGGAAACCATCCAACTTTGCCATCTAGGTTTCCTTCCCACCATCCTCCGTCTACAGCCTGCAAGGAAACAGGATTCAACAGACACAATGCTTGTTATGGATGATAACATACAACAGCATGGGACAATGAAGAAATCTGGAGTCCTTGTGAGCAGTCCAACCTCAGACTTATGAATTTTGTGCTGTCATGCCCTTCCACTGAGCCACAAAGACTCCAAAGTAAGGTAAGTTATTATAAGGTTCATATGTGACATGTGTCCTGAGTACTGCGTCAAGTGCACAAAGGGAATAAGAAAGATGATAAATTTTGAGCTTGGTAATAAAATAGACAGAAACTTAAGTCTGTACTCAAACCAAGAGGCCTGCCCAACCAGAGCTTATCTCAGTTTCCTTAGTATGAAGCAACTAGGAGTATCATAACTCCCCCCTAGATGGGATCCTAGACAATTACCAGGTTACCCCCTGCATTTCATCAGGCTTCCCTGATAATTTGCCGCTACCCATTTATACTCCTGGGCCTGGTAATTCGAAGTGGGATTAGTGCTAACCCAGGAATAAATTTTAATCTAGGTTTCTCTATTCCTTTGTTCAAAAGCCTTTTCTGGAAAATTAACTTTTTTACTCTTTGAGCATCTAATCATCAAATTGTAGATAAAAGGAATGGTACTGAATCTTATTTTTAAATTTTCAAATCAGAATTGGATTGTAGGTAATTTTTTCTAGTTTTACTAGACTGAAGATACAGTACAAGGGATCTGAAAACACTGCAAATAACCAAGCAGATGGCCACTCTTGTAAAATCTAGCCTTGGCCTCAATATTACAAAAATAACATCTTAGAAAAGTGAGGTATCATCAAGTTTAAAGTTAAATATGCAAAATAATTTTTTAGATCAATGACTGTCTTATTACCAACCTTTGTAACTTCCAGAATATCTCCTCTCTCAAAACAGAGCTGGGAAAAAATGAGACTGTTAATGCTCAAGTTAAACCTTTAACTATGATCAACTATTACAGCTACAACTAACAAATTGTGCAGAAAGAGGACTTAATCCGCTTTTGATACAACAATTACTTCTCCCTCTGCTTCACAAGTGAATCAAAAAATATGTACAGGCATGTACAGTATATAGAAAAAGAGAGGTGGTAAGTTTTGAGCTTTGTAAAGAAATAGAGAGAGATGTTCTCTGTCTTGTCATGAGTGTGGGACAAAGAAAAAATTCTGAGTCACCATGAGAAATTGAGCCTCAGATCTTTGGATTCCACACTTGCATTCTCTACCTCTGAGCCACAGAGACTCTATGGTGAGCCAGGCCCATGAACCACAGGGACTCTATGGTGAGCCAGGCCCATGAGCCACAGGGACTCTATGGTGAGCCAGGCCCATGAGCCACAGGGACTCCATGGTGAGCCAGGCCCATGAGCCACAGGGACTCTATGGTGACCCAGGCCCATGAGCCACAGGGACTCTATGGTGACCCAGGCCCATGATCCACAGGGACTCCATGGTGAGCCAGGCCCATGAGCCACAGGGACTCTATGGTGCCCCAGGCCCATGAGCCACAGGGACTCTGTGGTGAGCCAGACCCATTACAAAGTTCATATATGACACACGTCCTGCATACTGCTAGGATCAGCAATATCTATAGCCTTATATTTTGAGATAACATTGTAATGTAATATATGTACAGTGTATGTACATTATGTATACTTAATTGACCACCATCCCGTTGGAGCCTTCCATGACCAAAATGAATGAATGAATAAATGAATGAATAAACATAGCATTTTAAAGTCCCAACTGGCAGGAGGTAGACCAGTTGGCTATAAACAAAGTGCAGCCAAAGGAGTAGAATTCTGGGCAATTGCAAACAAATACAGAGAGTAGCACAGTGGAGGGCTTGAACACAGCTACACTGTCTCCATAAAATAACACAATCTGCATTGCCCAGGTCTGGGTTTGAAGGGCCCAAAAAAAACTTTCCTGTGGTGCCCCCTTTAAATACATTTGTTACTAAAAATCCTCTCTCACCTCATCTTCATCTCTTCCATTGAATGGAAAGGCTGCTTTTACAAGGTGGATATCAACTCCATAATCTGTCATTTCCTAGGTCAAATAGAAACATTTTCAGAATGCCCCTTTTAGATTATCCCAAGTTCCTATGCATGGCCCACTTGTTAAACTACACATTCAGGTAAAACATATAGTTTTTAGACTGGACTAGATAAAGATGTCCAGGTTCATTTACTAGTGGTACTCTTGGGCAGGACACTTTACTCTGCTAGTGCATCTCTATTCCAGAAAATATATGTATGTTATTCACCAGCCAGGAGGTCAGTACTGGGTAAATACTGTGCCTGAGGTCTTGGATACCACCCAAGGCCATATGCAAGACAGAGGGCACAGTTTTTGCCAATTGATACTGACCAACCTAGGCTGGTGAATAACTTTTTTTTTCTAAAGCAAAAGAAATGTTTTCCAAAAGAACCTGAATGACTTAGGGCTGTAATAACCACAAGATCCTCCAGAAATGGAACAATTTTTGAGCAAGTAGAAGGTAGAGAAAACAGAGGTAATACAAATCAAAAAGAGAGGCTCAACTGAAACATTTCTATTTGCATAAAAACAAACGAACTTTGAAATATTTTTTTATAAGTATCTGTCATGATCTGACAGAAGAAGCCTGCGCATACTTTGGTAAAAAAAGAAAAGCAATGGTTTGGCGAGCAAATAAGTTAAAAATTTGCTCAGAGTTTAACAACAAACAAATTATTTTGGAGAATTCAGATACTATCTGAATGAAAGTTCTATTGATTAATGTAACTTATAACTGCAAATACCCTTTTTTACCTGATTTTTACTAGGGCAAGCTCTCAGTGCATTGGATCGCTAATGCTTGTAAGATTATGTAAAACTAAGTTACATTTTCAAAGGTACTTAAAAAAGCTTAAAAACAACTAGTAAAAGGTTAAATATCTCTGGCTTGTGTTGGACCATTACTACACTCACAAAAAAATATATATCAATTGTAATCACTCATCCTCTCTGTACTTACAAGGTGTCTTGTGTCGTCAACAACTTCTTTTTCTGACTCTTGTGCTGAATCAATAGTGGTTACTTCATGATGAGTAAACTGCTTTCCCATGCCATATCCTGTATAAAGTAACATCAAAAATGGTTAAAAGGGTAATTTCTCACAGTTTATTAGACCTCTTTGACAATACCATTCTTCTAAGATTTTTCCAAACATTTTTTCACTATTGACAAAAATAAACTTATTTTTTGGTTTCTGTATGGTATGCACTAAAACAATCTTATACAAACACTTCTTTGTTTGTGTGTCACAATAAAAACTTCTGGATCACCAGCAATTGTGTCACCCCCATTAAGATTGTTTTTTTTTCATCAACCAAAGTAATTCATTTTGGCCTACCTAAATAGGTATTACCTTTCCTACAAGTATAGGGCTGAAGCTGAAGAGGGGCTAATGCTTGAAACAACTTACATTATCAATTTCAAAATTTAACTGATGATTTTAAATGATTAAAGGGGGTAAGTTTCTAAAGAAACTGTTGTGCTACTTCCTGGGGGAAGTATAACAAGATAACTTTGAATTTATCAACTGAGTTGATAATGTAAATTGGCTACCATAAAGATTACCAAAGCTGATGTTTTGAGCATTAGCCCTTGGTCAGAGCAAGAGGCTAACGCTGCTGAAAATCAAAGTTATCTTGATGATGTTAAAGTTGTCTTGATATAATACCAAACTCTCATATCAAAAAGAAAATGCTGGGGATTAGCCAAGGACAATTCTCTATCAAGTCCACATCACACACATCACACACTAAAACAATGTTGGGTAAGAGTGCTGGCAGTAAACTTCAATTGTACAGAATGAGATATACCTCAAGTTCTTTTGTTCAGAACAATAGACGACCACGTTAAATTTATGAGTTAGCTGAGTGGAAAGGTTCAAAAATTATTTTGTTGTCAATTCCTAATAGCTATCTAAAGATCACTGAAGAATTATGAAAAGTGAGTGATAAAATCTGATGTGTAACCACGGAAGACAAGTGTGCAGTATCGATAATATTTTTCTTTGGTCAACTTACGAAGTGTAGCCTTGACTTTCCGAAGCATAGAAGTAAACTTTTCTCTATGGATAAATCGCTGTAGGCTTTCACGTTGATTTGCAGATGACGAATTGAATTCAAACATTGATCAAGGTTTTAAAAAGCTTGTATCAAAATGAAATACTGAATCAAGTGTGTTGGAAGGTTCAGTCAATTTTACTTCCCTTTCATGCACGAGTATTAATATGTATATGAAATTCAAAACTTCTTCTGTCGCAAAACAAAAGCGTAATTACCAAATACGGATTTTCCTTGAATATCAGTTCACTTCCTTTCGGAAAATCACGAGAGTTTGACAAATTCACGATCGCTCGACGTAAAAAGTAGTGAATCTCAAGCTTGAAAATTGTTCACGCCTCATCATATCACGTATTTCGAAACAAGTTACCTTTGCAATCAGCAAAGGTAACTTTTCGTCTATAGTCAACCCTATTACTTCTTCCTGTTACAAAATCGTGAAAAGCCAACTGTTGTTTGCCAGTGGAACAAAAACTCGATTATAAATACAATAAATAAGTACTAAAATATCGCTTCAATTCACTTTGCAAGTAGAACACTGAAAGGTAAGCACGTCATACCCCTAACTGTCATAATTTATGGCAGTAAAACCCAAGCCTTGACGCCAAACAACAGTAAACAAGTGTGTGCTCGTGCCTACCTTTGAGAAAATTCGCGAACAACCACAACAGATCAAACTGATCCAAAAGTTTGAGCGTGCGAGGCGGACAAGGAACCCCGTAGCTTTCATGCAACAACAAACAGGAACCAATCTCTATAAACACGCTCTAAAAGCTAGTTGTACAAATCTATCAGTTTCGAATCAGAATTTATGCTGAGAGCTGAACCTAATGTCACGATCGAACGCTTTGTTCGTACATAGCACATGACAATCAATCAATGAAAGTTGTCAGAAAATATATTTAGCCTTAGGGAGAGTCTGAGTGAGAGAGAGATAACTTTACAGATCACGTACCGTTGGCCACATTTTCAAGGCAGTCAAGAGTCCGTAGAACACGAAGGAACCCTTCTTCAGAGTCGAGATCGTTCGGAGTGAAAATCTATACACACAAAAACATGGCGTATGTTAATTTCGACTTGCTGAGCGTGCTCAGAGAGGGCATGAAATTTTAATATCGGAACGCTGATGTTTATTTAAAATAGTCATAATGTGAGGAAATTATTCATTTTCGGTATCAAACCTCGTTGTCTTTCAGTTGCAGATCTTGGCAGGCGATCAGAAATGAGCTGAAGTTCTCCAAGCGCTCCTCTTCGGAAAGTGGTTCCTGGTAGATCTACGACGAGAACGACCAGCGGAAAAATTGTGAAATTGACCACGCTCATTTACATGACAAAATACCGAAACAGATCTCATTGCTGTTGATAAATAGTCCCTCTCTCACCTTGTTTATTGTCCCTGGCTTCAACCGATTCACCAAACGGCAGAGTATTGAGCCGTCTTTCAATATATCCCGCAGATAGCTGTCAAACTCATGATCGGCAGCTTTTTGCCGCTGTTCCAAAAGACCCAAAGCGTCAAACCAGCTCCCGATTTCGCGCGGTTTAAGCCGCATATTTTTTTAAACTTCGCCGATCAGGGGTTCGAAATCTGCACAGCGATTACAGCGCTGAGAAAAATAAACCCTCACCCACCGAGCCTGAGGTGGTTTGACCAGAAGGGTGTAACGACACACCTCGCTAATAATTATGCTATCCGGGATTAAGAAACAGGCATCATTCAGGTTACGCGCCAAATATTTTGTAATTGTTCAAAAATAATACTTGGGACGAAAATCTGTACTATTAAGTGACTACAAATCAAAGTAAATATCTCCTGATTCTAATGGTTTCAACAATGGATTTAAGTTGTTATAGCGATGACTTCTCCGTCTTCAACAAATCACGGATAATCGGAGATATACAAACTCAGACAGGTTTTACGCGCGGGAAGTTTTAAAACCGCGATTTCCGGTTCGTGACAAAAGTCGATTACAAATCCTCTTTGTGCATGAATTGTACGAAAAGCTTCATTTTTCACCAAATGACTGATCGCCAAAGTGTTACAAAAACATGGAAACAGAACATACGCGGAGTATCTTGTTTGCTCGGAAGTGCAATTTTGTTTCGTTTTCCCTTTTCAATTTGGTTCCCAGGGTCCTCTCTCTTTCCGCCACGAGGGGACGTTGGGAACTAAGTCGAAGTCAAATCGTTATAAACTCACACTCTACCGTTCATAACAAACGTTTCTTAATATCATCAGTAGTAAAGGACTCACTCGTTCACCGGGCTCTCTCTTTCGTTTTTCGATACTCGTGATTAAAAATAGTGCGCGCGCAGTCTCCATGAAGCAATCTCTGGTACAAAGGCTTCTACGTTTTAAGTGTAAATTCCTAGTATAGATAACTCGTACAAACAATTTCTCGAGAAACGGCGCTTGAAGCTTTTTTAAAAATGTGAAAATAAATGCACTTTCTTGACCTCATCATGAAATACAAGGATCATATTTTCAATTTTTATTCATCAAGTGATGTGCTACCGGTAATTTTGAAGCGCAGTCAAAACGTAACTGCAAAGAAATATTGATTAGACTTACTCTGGTCGTTTCCTCGTTTTAAAACGCGGCTGCGTGGTTTCGAGAGACTAGCAGTACCACGACAAATGGGACGATGGGAAAAAAAAAGATTGAGGAGAGAGACCGCCTTCCCATCTTTACCTTGCGCGCTCTTCTCACCCACTTCCTTTTTTGATGATATTTTAAAACAGAAAAGAGATGAAGACGGGGAACGGATCAGAGAAAGAAATCCATCTTTGAAGGAGGAAGGGGGGAGGGCACTGTTACCACATGGACAAACCAAAGTATAAAACTCCCATCACTCAGCCTACCAAACTAAAACATTGTGTAATGCATGTTTATTTGTTCTTCACTTTTGTCACTTAACATCTTTCCTATTAGGATTTCCATGGAAGGAAAATGACAAATTAAATTTTACAAAAAAACTTCCTAAAAAGTTATTATTAACAAGAGTACTTTAACCTACTTAAATGGTTGCAATATACTCTTTTCCAAAATGGCAAATGAAATGCAAAATTAATCATGAGGAGAGATGCTTTCAAAAACTTAGATGACCTTGGTGAATAAATTTCCAGTGTAGTTTGAAATCTCATGTTTTTCATTTTAACCCTTTCACTCCCAAGATCTAATTAGTAATTCTCCTTACTATCTGCCATACAATTCTTATGATGTTAGTTCAGAGAATTTGGTATTGCATCAACTAATAATCCCATGATTGATATTCTTCTCTATTCTCATCACCTGCCTGCTTGATATTGTATTGATATTGTAAGGAGAAATTCTGTCTTGGTCACTTGTGGGAGTGAAAGGGTTAATCTGCCATCTTGGAGGAGAGTCTACCATATCAAATTTTTTCAACAAAATGTTAGTTGTTAGTATTTCAATACATGAACCTTGGGCAAATGAGGTTCTGGTCAAATTAAGCAACAGACCTGCCTATCTCTGACTAGTGTGTTGTTTTACTTTTGCATTTACAGCCATCACTGATACTGTCACACGATGCCAATCCTAACCAATGAGTGACAGCCCATGTAATGGGTGTAACAAATGCATTATTACTTAGCATTAACAACAAATAACCCTTTAACTCCCAAGATCAGATTTCTAATTCTCCTCTCTGGCTGCTACACATTTCTTTGTAAATTAGTTAAGAGAATTTGGCGTAAAACGAAGATAACAACTCTCTGATAAGTTTGAGTATTCTTATCACCCATTTGCTGGATAATGTAAGACATCAGGAAGAAAGGTTTATCACTTCTGGGAGTTAAAGGGTTAATATTATATAACTACATCCTTTTAAAAGATTACACCTTCATATTTTCCTTCCTAATGCCCAGTTGTGACATGCTTTCAGTATATTGCTTCAAACTACTGTCATTCTGAAGGGAAAAGTGAATATTGTCAGACAAATCATCCCTTAAGATGAAATTGAAAGGATTAGGTGGCAATATTGACTGAACCTGTGTAGAATGACTATTTTTCAGTAAAATTTATTACATTCAAATTATTCTGTTAGAGACAAGTTTCACATAATTTTCCAAGATTTGCAAGGTCCTACTGTGGCGCTTACTGCATTGTTTACTACCTAACTATTTTCTCATTATTTTTTCATACTACATGTCTACAGTTACAAGCTTTTTTTCTGCATGGGATGATGGGAACTGATTATGTAATGAGGATGGGAATAATGGGGGGAGGGGTGGGGAGAGGGTGGGTGGTTATGGACAAAGACTTCAGGAGAGTTGGGAGAGGGAGCTTCCTCTGGGGAATTCATTTTGTATATCATAGTTGCATTGCTTGCATTTTGCAAAGTTAAGCCCACATAAATGGCTTCTGAGGGGAATCAGTTTTGTTTCATTTTCAATTTGTCAGGAGGGTTCATTAAATCTCTCCAAAAGTCTATTCTGTTCTCTCTATCTAGAGATCACACAATATGTTCCATAATAAAATATGTTTCATATTTAACAGCAAAGAGTTAACAATGCAATCTATGACAGAAATGACTTAAACAACCAGAAGTTGCCTGTAATCTTTCTTTTCTCTTAAAAACAAATTCCACTAAGCCATTTGATCCATCCTTTGTGGCTAAGATCATTTGGGAATTAATTCCAATAACATTGTGACCTAAATCAGCCAGCTTTCTACATAAATGGATTTGTAGACTGTCCTTGTCTTTGCATGCCTTGCTGTGCTCCAGCATTCTAAAATTCAAATAATGTCATTAACTTAAAGAAATGTTTTATAATTAGTCTTGTCAAGGGCCTGGAACAAATATAACATATTTACGGCCCAGACTCTTGGCTTCTCTGTGAAAATACTCCCATATGAAGGAAATACTGGGTCTAATGGTCTTCACTAAAGCATAAACTTGAATCAAATTAAACTATAGCTAGATATTATTCTGTAAAAGAAAGAGGAGTGGGAGGTTGAGACTGATCATTCTCAATGTAAGGATACACTTCAGGTAGATGGGAATTTGAAATAAAGGCAAAGACCTAGATGGTAATGGGAAATGGATATATGGGGCACTTTCAACATGCTTGATGGGGGAAGGTACAGCACCCCGGTTTTGGCCACCATGTCTCCCAAATCTATATTCCAAAAATATTTCAAGCACTTACCATAAATGGATTTGCCTGTGGACTTTGTTGCCATCCCCCTCCAAACTGCTGCATTTGCTGCTGTTGTCCAAACTGACTGCTTCCCATTCCAGACATGTTACCACCAAATGCTGCTCCTCCCTGATTTCCAAATCCGCCACTTGGCTGCGCACCAAAGCCTCCAGGAGCTCCAAATCCTGAGGGTTGCTGCTGAGCTCCAAAGCTGTTGCCACTAGACATGGAACTTGCTCCGAATCCACCTGCTGAACCTCCAAACATGGATGTTGGCTGTCCAGCACCAAATCCCTGACTACCACCAAACCCAGGTTGATTTCCACCAAAGTTCATTTGACCTCTCACTGGAGGTTGTTGTGGTAAGCCACCCCCCATTTTTCCAAACTGTGCTGAAGCCAGTGCTGTCATTCCTGCACCACCAAAGCTGAGATTCTGTTGGGTAGATGATGGTGGCATACCCATATTTTGGCCACCCATTTGTTGCTGGCCTCCCATGCTACCCCAACCAGACTGCTGGTTTCCACCAAATGATGATTGCTGAGGTGCTGTTGTTAAGTTGCCGAAGCCACCAGTAAAGGATTGAGTGTTGCTAAAAGACTGCTGATTACCAAATCCTGAACTTACAGGCTGACTGCCACCAAAGGATTGTTGACTTCCAAATCCTGAATTACCAGGCTGACTGCCACTGAAGGACTGCTGATTACCAAATCCTGAATTAACAGGCTGATTGCCACTAAAGGACTGCTGATTACCAAATCCTGAACTTGGTTGACTGCCAAATACTGATCCTGTACCTGTGGTTGCACTCATGCTGCTTGCTTGATTCATGCTATTCATGGGACCATTTAGCTGACCAAACCCTGCGGGGCCTCCTCCCAAACCTTGAAATGGATTGGATGGCTGCTGTTGCTGCTGCTGTGGCTGTTTGGGCTGCTGAAAACCTCCGGATACACTTCCAGTTGATGTATTTGAGAAAGGATTTGGTCCACTAGACATTCCAAATGAAGATGAGCCACCTGAACCAAACCCAGTTCCAGTACTGAGGCCTGTGTTACTACCACCACTTGATGGACCAAACAAGTTATCCAACTCACTCAGTGCTGCATACTTGTCTCCTGCTGTGTTTTGGGTAGCTGTGCTTCCAGACGCTGACACAAGTGGACCAAATCCAGCATTTGATGTAGGTTGTGGTTGTGATGGTGCTGAATTGTAGATTTAAACCGAAGAAGAAAATTAAAACCTCATTCCTCAAAAAAAAAATTTTTTTTTTCTCCTTGCTCTTAATCAAACATTTCAACCTCTGAAACTAATGGAAATTACCTGACTAAAGCCTCTAGTTTTCAGTATTCCTGAGGAATAGGATAGCACACCAATTTGAATCTTAGCAAGGAATCTCCCTCAATTTCCCAGAAAGTTAACAGAAAAAGGACAGATATAAGTTGTAGGCAACTGGAAAACAGGATCATATATATAGTATGATATCTGGCAAAAAATTGCTTTAAATCCACTGAAAAATCTTGATGTGACCTAAAAGATGCATCGCTTATATCAAATTTTCTGTGCTGAACCATTTTAAGCTTAATGCCTGAGGGAAGTTGCTTGGAAAAATCCTTGTGTTATTCTGGAAGTGAAGTTAAGCCATGTTCTCAAACCTGATGATGGAGGAGCACCAAAGGCATTAAACCCTCCTCCTGATGATGATGGAGGTGATCCAAATGCATCAAACAAATTAGTTTGCTGTTGTGGTTGAGGAGCAGGTTGCTGCTGCTGCTGGGAAGGGGCCCCAAATGCAGCAAAACTTGGCTGAGATTGTTGAGCAGGTTGGGGAGCTGATGATCCAAATGGATCAAAAGAATTCTGAGCAGGTGCTGCTGCTGGTGCGCCAAACGCATTCTGTGCAGGTGCGGCCGCTGGTGCACCAAACGCATTCTGTGCAGGTGCGGCCGCTGGTGCACCAAATGCATTGAAAGATCCAAAGCCACCTGCTTGTGGTGGTGATCCAAACTGACCTGAAAAAAAAATAATTACCAGCACTGGTGTAAACATATTTTCAGAATACACAAATACTTAATATCATTAGAGCTAAAAAATTTTGATGTTAGCTCCAACCAAAATTTTCTTTGCATACTGTCTGCTTGCAACAATTGGTCACTGAGCAATATCACAGTATCACACTGAGCAATATCACAGTAAAACCTGTAATTGGAACTTGCAAAGTTTTTGGAGCAGACTGATAATTACAACACCAAGTTGTATAACAGTACTAAAAGATGGCATGAGAAAGAAAATAGGGTTTGAGTTTGTGTTTAACCCTTCAACTGATTAAAATCTAACTTCTCCCTGTAATATCCATGCATTATCCAACATACAGGTAATAAGAAGACTCAAACTTATCATGTAAAAGTTTTTTCTTGATCTAAGACCAAATTCTTGTAACTTATTGACAAGGAAATGTGTAGCAACCAGAGAAGATAATTAACAATCAGATCATGGAACTTAATGGGTTACATCATATTGTAAAAAAATTTCCTTTCAGACTCTTTTTTTTTCCTTGAGATACCATCAAATGCACTGACAGAGGTAATTTCTAACACCTAAAAAGCATATTATTTCAAGTGGATCTTGTTTGTGTTTTCTAAAGTTTGGTGGAAAATTAGGTTCACATCGGACTGTTTACATTCTTGCCAACCAGACTGAATGGCAATGTATTTACCAGGACATTGAAAGGAGTATCTAAACCTTGATCATTGTCGAAAACAAAAGCTTCCTGGATACAATACTAAATTTTCATCCATAGCACAAAAAGAAACATAGGGTTTGCAGCTGTGAGAATTTGACTGTTAGAAAAAGAGGTAAACTGTGTTCTAACCCTGTGGTTGTGGAGTTGCAAAGGGATCTCCTCCTAAGTCACCCAGTAGATCCACCGATGGAGGCTTTGGTGGAGCTGGTTGTGGAGCTGGTTGTGCAGCAGGCTGTGCAGTACCAGGGGGTGGAGCAACAGATACCGGTGTTGGTGAAGCACCTGTTTGGCTTCCCGTGCGAGGTCTCTCTCTTGTTGCCTGTGCCTGAGTGAAAAGCAACAAGAGTCAGTCATATTATGGATATGTGCTCAAATTCCCCTTCTGATTTACAAGAAAATATGTGACAGTTAGTCACGAGAATTACTGACTGGATCTTGCCAGTTTAAGGGTTAATAACATTGATAATAACATCTTTAACAGTTTTAAATATCAATTTAGTTTTTAAAAGGAACAAGATCTGCTAAATGGGCATGAACTTTTAAACTTACTTGGACTGTTACAGGAGGGGTATTTTCTCCTAAAAGTTGCTTCAGTGGCTTGGGTTCTGGTGCTGACTGGCTTGTGTTGTTAGCTATGGCTTGCTGAGGGGGCATATACCATCTTTTTCTCTCATATTTCTGGACCATAAAATCTTTTATTTTTTGTTCGTCTCTGGACTCTGGTTCTGCTGGTGCTGAAGAGTTCCACAGTCCCAACCATACCTTTTTACAATACTGCAAAGTGCAAAAAAAGAAAAAAAAAATACTTTTCATGCTATACACAAGTAAAAGTTGAGGCATAATCAACTGTAGTTCCTGAGTAAAAAATAGCACATTCTCAAAACTAACATACAGGTATTTGTATCATAATTTAGACCTAATAGATTCTGTGAAAGAGTTGTTTCTATTCCCAAGAGGATGGATTCCTTGAAACTTTTAAACACATTAGCAGGTATACTAAATCATTTTATTTACACAGAAAATATAATTACAACAACCATTTGTACCAAGAGACAAAATGAGGAAACAGCATCAATTGATTGTTATCCCAATTCTAATAACAAACAAATTAAAAAATAATGTATGCATTTACAACCACCAGCAGTAAAAGTCAGCATGAAATGTGTACCTCAGAGCTGAATTCATAACTACAAGGGCACCGAAAATAATTGGAAATTTCTGAACTGGAATAAGTGATACATTTTTCACATTTGTATATATTCAATAACTAATAATAATTTAGCAAAACCCATCGACACGTCTTTGTAATGATGATCATAAAAAGTTCTTGCATGCTCCATTTAACTTCAGAAATTTTCTCTACAGTTAACCACTGACTGCAAATTTTAAACAGCAGCAAGAGATGCTTGTCAATGCACAGCAAGGGAACAATACCACTCAAAAAGAATATTTTGTCTTTATCTGAAAGTTAATAGAGCATTTTTTTTTTATTCTCTTTTTAGAAAATATCTATTTGTTATTCAATCTGAACACCGGAAAAAGCAAATAGTAATGTTCAGCAAATTTCACTCATTAGAGGAACCCGTCCTGAATAAAACCTTGGGAACCAGTCCTTTTAAAAATGGATTTCCTTGTCAACTTGCTTATTCAAAACAAAATTGTAAAATTCTAAGTTATTTTCCAGACAACAATTAAATTAAGCTTTGTGCTCAAATGCAATTTTCCCTTTTTTCTTTTAATATTATATTAGTATTGTTGTGCACAAACCACATAATATAAAAGGTATGCTAAATTAAGGTAATTATTATTAATAGAGATATATCAGTTTGAAAATCCCGTAATGGTTTGAGAACTGGGATTCCCTTTTTAAATTTTGCATTCAAAATATACTGTCAGTATTTCCTTTCTTCTTTATATTAAATATGACATCTTTGGAAAGAGTAAGCCTATGAAAAATTTCACTTTTCAATTGTTTGAAATTTAAAGCTGAGTTTTGTCTATGGCAACCAGTGACTGCATGATGTTTTGAGAAATAAACAAGGGAAGGGTTGTGTATTTATTTGACAAGTCTTCATTGATATCATTACAATACAGAGAGCACCTACACCCTGGTAGTAAATTAGAACAATCAAGATGTTTTGAATGCAGTCTGTATGGGTAGTATTTGTTTTATGCTGAAAATACCATCAACATTTTTAAGAAACAAAAAGACAAGATTCTTTCCTTTGAAATTATCAGCGCATTGATGCCTATAAATTTTAATGTTCAGTTGCAAATGTGTACATTAATTAATCGATTTCTATGTTTTGCAGCAGTTTAAAACAGCCTGACCAAGCTTAAGAAACAAAAAGCCAGCGCATCAAGAGTAAATCACGCGAGAAATCAAAGTCTTAAATGTACGTGTGATTTATCAACTGAATGAATCAAAAAACGGCCGACTACTATCGCTTTCAATTTGGAATATCTTTGCTTTGTCTTCGATTTGTGGCGAACAATGCAACCACAAGGAACTATATAATGATCTCGCGCCATTTTTGTATACAGATCGCTAAGCGGAGTGTATTTTGCTCTGTAATTCGACCCAATTTACTTCATTCTGGTTTAAAAGTAAAAAGGCGTTGAAATATTGACAATATTGTTCATTCGGACTAAATAAGTACAAACGCACAGATACAAAGTGAAACTAACATGATAGATATCGCCAAGGCAGATTCCAATTAGTCACGAATTGTCACGGCTGGAAGATATGACCGGTTGTTAACTTTTTGGCAGACCATGCTGTACGATATCGTGTTTTATCAATAATCACATATTTTTATTCACTTTCTTGGATCCCAATGTGCTAACTACATATCATAAGCCATAATAAAACTGGCTAAGTTTTATATTGTACAAACCGTTGGCACGAATGTGGAATTGAACTGAGCTAGAAAACAGTGTAAGCTCGAGGGTGTTACAACCAAATATCTCATTTATTGCGAAGAATTTGAGCATCCATCCAGTAAGAAACAAGCAAAAACCGCCCTAAATAACTTTAACTAAGAATTAAAGTCCGCTAAGGGATCTAATGATCGAAAACTACGTACCGCTTCATTTTACTAAAGTTCTAAACTCGTGTCTTATAAACCACGTAGACGAGACTTTACCTCGTTTCCCGTTCCTTGTAGATTTTCTATTTCTTGTGGAGTAAAGCTTGTCATCGAAATTGATTTTACTCGATAAGGAGGGTTTAGCCCACGTCTGTATAAACACAAAACAAAATAGGGAAATAATTAACGTTTAGCAGAGTTACATAGCCAAATCATTCAACTCTGTAGAATACGAGAAAAGTCGGCGAAAATTCATGCCAACTCTACTCACAAAATGCCGCTACATGATGTACAAACGAAAGATCCTATAGTGGTATTCACATATGTAGGTCCCCTCTGTCCACAATCGAAACATTTTTTGTTGTGGGGTAAAGCTGCGAGATCTCGAAGAAGTTTCAAGTTTTTCTCGTCCTGCTTTTTCTTGGCAGAAGCCATCATGGATGTTGCTCGGCCAGCGTATCTTGCACTGCGCAAGTCCTGTGAGTAAATTGCAGGGGAGGGGTAGAGTTTGCCCTATCGGTCACGCAACTTGGTCACGTAACCATTCTTTTTGCGTGCCGTCATTTTAAAATCAATTTATTAATTTTCTTTATTCGTTTTTTGTTGTTGTTTTTTAACATGATTTGTCTCCTTCTTTTCCTTTTTTACTCCTTTTTTTCGGGGGATGGGGAGCGGGGGGAGACAGCACTTTAAACCAAAATATTTTATGAACAAGAGGAACATGATCCACGCGATTCTCTCCGAAGGGCGTAATTCAATTCATTGCAAAGTTTAAGGAAACATCTAAACTAGAAACTAAGACAAGCTACGTAAACGAAGGTCACCCACCCTTCCTTTATTTACAATTTAATTACACGATCGAATTGGCGACTCAATTTTGCATAAATCGCGTAACAAACAATGAAAAGGAGGCGGAAGTAACGTCAAGTAATAATTCGGCATTTCCTGCAGTTGCTATAAATACATCCTGATATTGGACTAGTTATAGATACTACTCTTCGCAGCTATTTGAGTGAAATGATTGAGATATTTTGAAGAGGAACCGATCATTTTAGAGCACCATAACAAACACATTACGAAGACGTCTCGAAGATTTCTGAAAGAACTAATGTTTTTCCTCCCAAATTCTGAAGTTTTGTGGAAGGTACAATCTTGAACAAAGGTTCTTTTTTCATGGAATGACGAAATCCTATTATACTTTGAATATCTGCGAAAACAGTTTCAGGCAAGGCTTTAATACTTAACAAGCTGAATGATACACGCATTTTGATTCGATTTTACTTTTGATCTCTAGGATAACAGGTGGATATGATGTCATTGATGAAAACATTTTTCTGCTTCTCAGTATGAAAACCAAATAGATTTCACGATCCGTGCGCCTGTTCAGCAACAGATCATAAAAGGTGTCAAAGTGTATCAGAAACATTAATGACATACTCCGCTGCGCTTCGAGTGCCACTTACCTGTTTCTATCACATTTCGACGTCAACAGTGATCTATTGCTAGACAGACGCACAGAAATATGGAAACTATTTTGTTAATTAGAGAAAGATGTTTTTTTTGTCTTGCCACGAGCATGGGACAAAGAAAAAAATTCTGAGTCCCCATGTGGAATCGAACCTCAGACCATCGGATTCCGGGTTCCGATGCTCTACCACTCCACGGTGAGCGAGGTCTATTACGAAGTTCATAGAAGAGCGTTCCCAATAGGGTTCTTCAATCCCGCGGTCCCGACTAAAATTGTCTCTCAATCCTGTAATCCCAAAGGTTTATACCGGCCAATCCCGATCCCGATCATACAATTTTGTCCAGGCCCATTTCCTAAACCGAAAAGAGCCTTTCCGGTGGGTGATGATTTTCTCAACCAGCATTGATCCGTTGAAGTCTATAGTCGCCATAAGGCGTGAGTTTATTTCTTTTCACCAAAATCATGATTCATGATTTAGAAGTTTTTAAAGTTTTGCATGAATAACGTAGGCTAGTCACGGTACTTCCTTTCATTAAACTTCGATCACGGACAAACTTATAGGTACAGGCAGGTCAGTATCAAAGAAACGAATAAAAATTTCAACAAGTGCATAAAACTCAAAAGGTCACGGCAATCCCATAGTTCCATAACAACGGAGATAAAGAAAAATTAACTGAACAAAATTCTGCTGTTGGAGCGAATACTTTTTCCGAAGCGGGAACCTCTTTCGAGATGGAATGTCATCATCATCACTCGGGGAATCGTTCTCCAATATTCCATCTTCCTCTTCGTCTTGTTTCCCGCTGTTTTCTTGCTGCTCCTCGAAGTCAGAACGTTCGAGGCTGACCGGTTGAACTGGCTGAATTTCTCTCTAATGGAGGTACGACGGGAAGTTCCAGCTCTTGCCATCGTTGTTTCCTGTCTGACAGAGAGCTGAGGCACTGCTGCAACTAATGTTTACGCCCAGTCCCTTATCTTCTGTATGCTCTGTGATGCCATCGGAACTGGTGGTAACGGTTGATATCAAGAATTTGGATTTGTTAAATAGAACGCCGCCCAATGGGTTGTCCTCATTAAGCCCTCTTAGGCTACATTTCCAAAGTTCCTTGGGTAGTCTAACCCTGTGAAAAGTTTATCTTTGTGATGCACAACCGAGTGAATATTCTTCACATCTAGTGTCATGTAACTCAGCAGGTTAAGAGGATCGTATCGGTATAATGCTGAGACTTGCTGGAGGTTTTTCAACGTCGTTAAGCATTCAATTGACGCAGCAGTCTTAGACCACGTTACCCTGTGGGCCATTGAGGATTTTGATAAATCGGCAACTTCGTTTCTGATATAATTTTCATTCCCGCGCAATATCTGAAGAGTGTCACTGAGCAGCCCGACCGCCTCCTAAATGCTGGGGAGCCTGTATGCCTGGTGCTTTTCATGACTGAGAGGATCAATTTCTTCATAAATTCTCGTCAACGGACATCCCGGTTCTCGGTTCGTTTAAGAGATTATTTCCCGAATCCCACTCCTCATCATCAAAATCGCTGATTCCCGTGTTCTGTTCATAATAGCGATCCCGCATCTCGCCCCCTTCTTACTTTAAATTCCCGGATCCCGGCCTTTAAATAAGCTTAATCCTGGATCCCGAAAAACCTATTGGAGACCCTCATAGGACACGCGTCCGGCACGGCTGCAAGGATCAGCAATGTCGATAGCGTAATGACTGTTGATGGAAATAAGAGAAATGATAAGTTTTGAGCTCGGTAAAGAAATAGAGAAAGATGTTTTATTCGTCTTGTCACGAACGTGGGACAAAGGGAAAAAATTCTGAGTCCCCATGTGAAATCGAACCTCAGACCTTCGAATTCCGCGCTCCGATGCTCCACCACTGAACTGCGAGACTCCACGGTGAGCAAGGTTCATTACGAAGTTCATATGACACGTGTCCTGCATACTTCTATGTTGTTAATTACTACAAGTTTTTCGTCTGGCGTAAGTTATTGGTCGGCAGGTTTTACTTTTCGATTCGCTAGCGCACGAGATAGATGGTATCAAATACGTTGGGATGCAGTGCTGAATATCCCCAACTGCGTATCTCATGAGTTAATTTCCTGAGTAATGGACTCTATAATATGAATATATGAATATCGTATATTTGAACAGCGTATTAATAAATAAAGATAAGAGTGATCGTGGAAGTTGTTAACGCTACCTTGACGGTATCGAAAATAAAGTCTAAAAAAATACAGGCTTGTACGTAGTAGTGTTTATATGTGTGCTGATCACTCTCATCTCTATTTGTGCGCATGTATGTGGATAAAGCAACAAGCAAGCGGGCCAATGTCAACTCAAAGTCTCCGTCAACTACTTCGTTTGGTCTTGCCAAGCAACGCTTTTTTCCTTCCAACGTTGCGTGAGGACACCAAGCAAAGGCAACAAGGGGGACAATGGGATGCTCAGGGTTTTGTGAAGGGCATGATTCCGGACATGATAGATGAGTAACCAGCAGTAAGCTTCATATTTGGTTTACGTTTTACCAAACACGTAAAACGTTTTCGCCACTTTATTTCGCACCTTTGATTCTCAGTATTATTTTAGGTGTATTTTAAACTAGTCCAAGCGGTAAACTAATTCTAGTTTCTAGCCTTTTCCTGCAAAGAAAAGAGAGATGGCCTGGAAATAAGAAGAAAAATTCAGAGAAAACACTACTACAACATGTGTCATCTGGATGTACAGATAAATGGATCAGAGTCAATCAGAACTTTTGACAAAATTTAACTCCTCACAAGGGCAGGTTTGGACACCTTTGCAAAATTGTTAAACTATCAAAACATCAAAATATCAAAATTGAACGATATCAAGTTTGCACAGCACGAAACAGAACTTCTACCTGAAAATTATTGCTCTAAAAGCTCTTCGATTTTGGAACAAAAAAAATACACTTTTTTCACCCCTTTGGCGAGAAGACTAGACGACCATTTTCCACCAGGGTCTATTGGTTCCCTTTTGCCAGCACAGCCGGCCCTACACTCAATTGACTTGTCCTTCTTTCTCTGTCAACATTTTTTCGGTTTTTACTTTTTCATTGAAGTAAATATTTATTTGATTTCCTATTCTAGCAGACTAACGCGATGTATTTTTTTTACGCGGCTTGCATGACGCCAGTCTCTAAAAGCGTCACGTCACGCAAGACCATAAATTCGCAACAAATGGGATACAAAGAGCACTTCAATTTCTAGAACTTGGAAAACCACTTCTATGCTTTAGTTCCTTTATCCTACAACGAATCGATTACTATTTCTGTTGATTAGCTCGTGGATTTATCTTTTAAAGGCAGCTTTACATCGGCGTAAAAGGGATTTGTGCTGAAAATATTGTGCAGCTCTGCAAACGTTGGTCTCTTCTCCGGCTTTAGATCCCAGCATTGGAGCATCAGTGAATAGGTCTGTTCTGGGCATGCGTCAGGTCTTTCAAGCCGATTGTTGTCTTCCTCCAACATACGTATTACCTGAAGCGGAAAGAAAATTTCACTCAAAAAAGATTTGCAGCTATTTCATAGAATGGCAAATAAAAATTTTCAGCTTTGTCATGAGCTGATCGGGGAGGCATCGGCAACTGAGTCAACCCATTTCGCCACTGCGAAAAAGACCGCTAAGCATAACCGTCTGTAAAGAATAACCCATCTGGAACATGTATAATGCAGGATGGTAAATAACCAGCTTGACAAATGTAATCGTATCTCTGTAACTTTAACCCTCCCAAAAAATTAAGAGTGATCTGTTCTTCGGATTTTAAGTGAAAAGGCAGATCCGCCATATTGTAACTTTGGCGAATTTATCGGTCTGTAATAGAGATTTAGCCCGCTTGTACGCTCGCGTAACTGGTCAGGCTGTTTTTGTCGTCATTTTGTCGTCATTCAGGTTTTTATCCTTACTTCCCTCCAAAGTGATTATAATAGTAATAAAGTTTATGTTCTTGAGCATGAATAAGAATTGGGCCCTTCTCATTTCATTTTAACCCGAGGCACTAAAATGACTCTGAGTCGGGCACTAAACGTATTTATGCCCGCGAGCAAAAAAATCTATTGTTTCATTGCCTTTTAATTTTTGAAGAAAACCACTACAACAGGCAGAAACTTCGGTTCAAAAAAGGAAATACACCTGCCAAAAAGAATCTCAGAAAAAGACAACTTTTAGTTTCTTGACGAATCAACCCTTGCATTTTGAAGACCCCCTAACCGATGAAATAGCATCTTTAAAAACTTTCACTCACCTCACCCCCTGACATCTCGCCATATGGTAACTGACCAAACGAGTACATCTCCCACAGTGTCACACCATAGCTCCAGACGTCACTCTGATGCGAGAACGTTCCGAAGTTGATAGATTCCGGTGCATACCTAAGAGAAGTTTGTCAGTTATGGGTTCAATTTGACACTTCAACTCCCAAGATCTGATCGTTAATTTTCTCCCCTCTATTTGCTATACATTTCCTTGTAAATTTGTTACCAGAATTTTGTGTTGCATCATGATAATAACTTCTACCTGATAAGTTTGTGTATTCTCATTACCTGTTAGCTGGATGACGTACGGATATCGTAGGGAGAAGTTACTTGTTAATCACCTCTAGGAGTTAAAGCGTTAAGCTTGCGAGTTGAGAAAGACAAACGAGATCTTTTTTTCGCGTGATTCGAATTCCACGAGCTTCCCTCCAGAGAGATGTTCCCTTCCGACGCTTAGTCGCCGATTCATCGGCGATTGCGCAATTGAGGAGGCGAGCGTGACCTAGTGGTTAGGGCGCTGCACTTGTAAGCCGGAGGTCCCGGGTTCAAGTCCTCCTCCCTGCCACTGGATGGATTTGTCTTTGGTGGCCCCGAATTCAACTCCTGCACGCTTTGTAAATAGCCAACTGGTCTGCCTCCTACCAGTTGGGGTTTTTAACGAGTTTCTGTTCATTTACGATATTTGTTTCCTTATTTACAGTGTCCCCAATTAGCACAGCAGTGCTAAAATACAATGACACTTAAATAAAGTTTATTATTATTATTATTATTATTATTATTATTATTATTATTACAGGAGTAATTCGTGTCGCAAACGCCCCTTAGCTACACTAAAACAGACACACTTACACAAACTCTTATCTCAGAGTAAATGAAAGCAAACCCACCACTTAACTGGCCAGCGGCCACCTTGTGAAGCTTTGTAGTAGTCGCTTCCCGAGCCAGTAGCACGAGACAGACCGAAATCACTAATTTTTACCTAAGGAGAGTACCAAGGGGAAAAAAAAAGACATATTAAAAAGTTCAGAAAGAGACTTCAGTGGTGCACATGGATACTGACGCTGTTACAACAATCAGCTACTCAATCCATGTTTACTTCCTCACAAGAAGAGTCCTAAGAAAAAGTGCTTCTAAAGTATTTGCTGAAGTAATGGGTAGGTTTTTTCCCTACAAATTCAAAGCAAGATCCGACACAAGATCCATCAAAGTCGTTATCGCTCCATTCTCCGTCTTTCTGATAATTTGAATGATATTATAGCCTCTGCGTTTCTAGAGTCTTTTGTAATTTGTCACACTCAAAAAATAACATATACTGACCACAGAGAAAGCAAACAGCAAGAAACTTGCACATGATACCAGAGAAATCCTCCATCAGATCACGGGTACATAGCTAAGCTTGAGGAGAGCTTAGGCTTCAACACCACAATATAACACGACAATATACAGTCCTTTCCTTACCTGTTGTTTGGTAGACATGAGGATGTTCCTTGTTGCCAGGTCCCTATGTACGAAGCGCTTCTTTTCCAGGTACATCATACCCCACGCTATCTGAGCTGCCCACAATTTAAGGTCCCTTTGAGAAATTTCTGATTGGTAATCGATTAGGAAGTCCAGTAAAGCTCCCATCTTCACTAACTCTTGGACCTGTGAAACAGCGAAAGATGCGATTTCACGCGGATTTACTTTACTTTTCCTTAAAAACTTCCACTATTCATTCATGGCGTAGCAGTGGAAAAAACACAAGTCCCATATAACCTTGGTCCCAGGGTCTCGTTCCCATAGAGCGTGAAAGAGAGATAAAAGGGGTTACGAAGAGAAGAGTGACCCTGGGAACGAAACTGACTCAAAAACTCTGATTCACGATCAACTGCTCTAACAACTGAGCTGCAGATAACTCTTTGGTGAGTTTGGCAATATACTGGGTTTATATGCACGCTGCTAAGATCAGCAAAGTGTGCTG